GTGCCTTGCGGGGGGGAGCCCACCGTCTTCCTGGTAACCCAGCGCCTGGCGCCGGGGCCTGCCGGCACCTCCTCCCACGATTTCCTCTACGACGTGGACCCCCGGCCTGCCTTGGGCACAGCCTCCAACGTCTGCTTTGAGGTGGATGATGTGCCGGGGCTCTGCAAGCAGCTGCAGCTCCGGGGATGCTCCCTGCCAGTGCCCCCCACTGAGGTGAGGGATGGCAGTGGCTCCGTCACCTATGGGGTGGTGAGCTCCATTGTGGGCAACGTTAGCCACACCCTTCTGGACCGATCCTGCTACCGGGGACCCTTCCTGCCTGGCTTCCAGCCCATTCAAGGAGCCCCCTCCACCACGGGGGATGGGATCGAGATCACCCACTTGGATCACATCACGTACGTCTGCCCGCGGGGCGGTGCTCGGGTGGCTCTGGATTGGTACCAGCGCTGCTTCGGCTTCCGCCGCTTCTTGCTGAACCCACAGGAGAGGCCAGCCGAGGGGTACGTGCTCGGGGGGCAGGGGGTGGGCATGATGCTCCTTGCACTGCAGAGCGCCCAGGGTGCCCCAGGACACGGCTGCAAGGTTGTCCTTGCTGAGTCCCTCTCAGAGGATGGCACCAACCAAGTTGATACCTTCCTAGAGGAGCATGGTGGGGCTGGGATCCAACATGTTGGCCTCTGCACCACTGATATTGTTGCCACAACCCGGGCTTTGCAACAGCGGGGTGCACGGTTCTTCACACCCCCCACCACCTATTACAGCCAGGGGGGCAAAGCAGAGGAGATTCGGGGGGCCGGGCAGGACCCCCACATGCTGGCAGAGCTTGGCATCCTCCTGGACACCACATCACCTGGAGACAAGGTCTGGACAGGCACCAATACCACAGAAAGCCCTTCCCAGGAGTATTTGATGCAGATCTTCACCCATCCCATCTTCACTGAGGAGACCTTCTTCCTGGAGCTCATCGACCGGCGGGGAGCGCCGGGCTTTGGGGAAGGCAATATTAGGGCACTGTGGAAAGCTGTGCAGGTCTACATGGACCAGCAGCAGTAGTGGCAATGCTGCAGTCCTCCTCCCTCAGCTCCCCATTACCTCTGGTCCAATCCTGGGGCAATACACCACTGCAAAGATACCAGCGGGTACCTGTGGTATGGCCCAGGTAGGTGGTCAGGGACCAAGGGAGGTCAACCTGACCTCCAGGTCAATCCAGAGCCAACACTGGGAGCAGGTTGCTCAGGGCTAAGCCCAGTGGACCTCTGAGCATCCCCCAGGATGGAGGGAACCCCCTCTCCCTGGGTGCCCACTGATTTATCAACATCACATGAAGAATTTTATGCTTTCATTTCATCTTAATTTAATGATACTTGTGCCTGCAGCATGGCCAAGAACCCTGCTGGCACAGCAACACTCCCAGACATACGGGGATGAGAGGCTGCCAAAGGGGAGCAGATAACCTGGGAGCCATGGACACAGCTGTATGCCAGTGGCTACCACCAAGAGCACAGGCAGCCCCTGTGCAGCGCAAGTGGTGGCCTCTTCCTCCTCTCAATTAAAGAATTCACTTGCAATTACTGCCTTTTTTTTTTTTCTTTCCTCCTCCCATCCAAGATTTGCCAGATGTGAATGGAAGAGGCAGGCTGGCCCCAGTCCTGCAGTCCCTAAATTGAGGCCACCTCCCCCTTGTATACCCCCAGGACTGTCCCCTGTCCCCACCAGCCCCCAGGCTTGTGCCTTTGCCTGGGTGCTACTGCACATCCCAGCCAGGGAAAGCCACATTGTGTGCACAGTGAGGAACAGCCTGATGGAAAAGGTAAAAAAAAGGGAGTAAAACCCCTACAAAAAGCCCAGGGGGTGATTGCTTGGCCCCACAGAGATGTAGGTGTTCTGCCAGCCACCTTCACAGTAGACTGCAGGATGCCAGCTTAGCATGGTGCAACAGAGGCAGAAAATGACTTAAACCCCCACACACTTTAGGAGATTTATTATTATAAAGCCTGTGGCTCAGTTTCAGTAAAAACAAACATATAAAAAGGGCTGTTGGAGGCTGGGAAGGGTACAACAGCACCCACAACTGCTGGCTGGCAGACAAGGGGCTGCAGAAGCAGTGTGGTCACAGCCTTCCTTCTACCAGAGAGAAACTCCTGCTGCCATGAGTCCGCAGTGCAGGGTGGTGGCTGTATGGGGCCACACAACACCTCCACCCGTGAGCGGGGAGGGCAAGTCTGGCTCCAGGTCACGTCCAGGACCATGGTGGCCACAGCCAGACACAGCTCACATGGGAGCCAACATACTCTGGAGGAAGGGGTGGGAGAGGGTTACAGGGCTGTGTACAGGACTCGCAGCAGTACGGGGGACACCAACCCCACCCTGCGGGCAGCACTCACCGCAGCGTGGGTCTCTGGGGGTCTCATGGGTGAAGGGTGCTGTCACGGGGCAGTCGGTGCCTGGAGGAAGGTGCGGAGGGAGAGCTGCCTCCCGGGGCAGGTGCTGCCTGCTCCCCGTATTTTCGTCCCCCGCTTCTGCTTGGAGCCCTGTGGGAGACAGGCGGTAGGGCAAGCCCAACCCCAGCGGCCTCCACAGCCTCCAGGAACCTATGGTGCTGGGGACAGCCAGGGCAATGCCAGCTGGGCGCACCCCAGAGGCAGCCCTGCCCC